CACTCCAAAGACTCTCTTTATACTTGCTAATTCTGCACCCAGTTAAAGCAATGCAATTCCTACAGAGTCTATTGAAGTTTGCACTGTAAAAATTCTGGCATTACTAGTCTATGCCTTTAAGATCTATGACATGTACAAAGGGAGAAAAGCATGGTTAATATAATGGCAAGGGAATCTAAAACCTAAACATCATATTGTTTTACTGAATGAATTTTCAATTTAAGAATATGAGCAACATCCTTTATTTGAGTAATATATTCATACAACGTATTTCTGGCTTGAATATTGTATTGTTGGAGTAACAAAGATTAACGGTCTTTGGCAATGGAATAATTTTCAGTCTTATTAATACTCTGACAAGAATGCTTAGCCATACGTAGGCCATGTGTTATCTTTTTATTTTTAAAAATCTTTATGTTGTGTACAGTCAGGCTTTTCTAGTTCCTGTGAAATCAAATTAACCTGGCAGCATATCTCTCATAGAAATTTTTATTAAATGCATTTTAGATTCAGATTTAGGTTATTCTCAATCCTCTGACGTTGGTTCTAATGGCTGATTCTAGTCTATGATGTTCACTTTTTTCTCCATCCTGACAATTTGATGCTGCATAGTTGTTCTGTACAAAATGACTCAGCAAATGGGGGGGGGAGTTCAGGTACTGTTAGTATAACTTCAACCCACTCAATTCTCGATGGCACCTCACAAAATGTCACCGACAATTTAAAACAAAGCTCATTGAAGAGAAGTTCTTTCCTGCTTTTTCCTGTAGCTAGAATCATCTCAAAAGATTTCTTTGATGAGAGTCACCCTTTATAGATTAGAGAATACAATGTTCTTTCTGAGAGGTAAGGGAAAGACAGCAGTTATGTAACTGGTAGGGACATTTGGAATTTCATTATTCATTTCATTATAAATATTTACAAAATGATTACTGCTCAGAAGTATTACTTCATATTTAGGTAATTTAAGGAAACAAGACAAAGCAAATCTTTAATTTTTTATACAAATGGCAAAAAGAAATAGGCTAACTAAAAGTGGAAGTGACTGAACTTGTCAATTGAGTGGGTATAGTAATAGATGCATTATTAGGTAGTGATTGCTACAAAAATACTGCATAATGAATGACTCTCAAACCTAATTATTCAAAACTAATCAGTGAAACCAGATCCCATGACTATGAATGAATTTGGAGAAATCTAGCATGAGCACAGGAGTCTCTAATTTATATTGCAAGGTTTATGTCAGGTGTGATGGATTTAGTCATGTGTTTCTTTCAGTGTTGGGTTAATTGAATAAAAGTTATTCTTTAGGCAATGTCAGGGAAGTAAGAAAGCAAGCCTGATGCTTCAAAGACATATTAAGTCAATTTTCCTTCTGTTTATTAACATCCCATTGGTCAAAGTAAGTCACATACCTGAAGCCAATATAAGTCAGGGATATATTTACTGGAAGTTAGTATTTGTAAAATAGTATTCTGATCTTTTTTGAGATAGTGTTTATTTGTCTCACCCTAACTGTCCTGGAACTAGCTCTTTAGACCAGACTGTCACTGAACTCACAGAGATCCTCCTGCCTCTGCCTCCGGAGTGCTGGTAATAAAGGCATGCACTACCACAACCTGGCATACTATTCTCATCTTAATATTAATTTTATTTTTAATGAAAAACTTAGCCATGTTTGCAAAAGAGCAAGAAGACTAATAGGTTTGAAATGTTAGTGTAGAATCAGATGATATGGTGACAATAAAAGAGATAAGGGCCCTTTGCCACTACAGATTGGAGTCAAGACTTCTCTAAGTACAAGCAAAACTTTTTGCATGCTTTTAAGTACAGAATGACAAGCATAGGGTTACATCTACAAACCAGCTCTGTATTCTGTGTAGTATCTGCATTGGAATAGATCCTAGATGAGATCATGGATGATTCGAAGATGGATACCCAGTGGCCATGGTTGTGACTCAGAAGAGAGGCTTCAATCAGAAGCTTGGTGGTGATAATAAAAGAAGGGAAAGCCTTTGGGTGTGGGACATAATGTAATGGCAGACCCATACTCCTATGGGCTTTTGCTAGCTCAGAAATATTTGAAGATGGAAGACAGGCAAATAAAAGCAGATGTTAGCTATAGGATAGCATATAAGTCTGTCATAAATGTTATTATCAGGGGAGGGCATTTAAGGTAGCTTCTCCTCTGTTGCTTAGATTGTTAGCTGGTGTCATTTTGTAGATCTCCAGACATTTCCCTAGTGCCTGATTTCTCTGTAAACCTAAAAGGTCTCCCTCTATTATGGTATCTCCATTCTTGTTATCTTCTATTCTTCACCTGACTCCACCTTTCTGCTCCCTCATGTCCTCCTCACCCCTCCTCTTCTCCCCTTCACATTCTCCTAGGTCCCTGCTCCTTCCTCCCGTGCTCCCAATTTGCTCAGGAGATCTTGTCCCTTTCCCTTTCTGTAGGGCACCATGTATATCTCTCTTAGGGTCCTCCTTTTTTACTAGCTTCTCTGGCAGTGTGGAGTCCCTGCTCCTTCCTCCCGTGCTCCCAATTTGCTCAGGAGATCTTGTCCCTTTCCCTTTCTGTAGGGCACCATGTATATCTCTCTTAGGGTCCTCCTTTTTTACTAGCTTCTCTGGCAGTGTGGATTTTAGGCTGGTAATCCTTTACTATGTGTCTAAAATCCACATATGAGTGAGTACATACCATGTTTGTGGAAGTAGAAGCAGACACCCACAACTAATCACTGAAATGAACTGGAATCCAGTTGCAGAGAAGGACAAGTGATGAGGAAAGGGGTCCAGACCAGGCTGGTGAAAACAGCTGACCTGAACAACAGGGAGCTTTTGTTACCCAGACTGATAGCTGGAATACCAGCATGGGACTGATCCAGACCCCAGGAATGTGGGTTTCACTGAGGAGACCTCAGAAGTCTACAGGACCTCCTGTAGTAGTTCAATACTTATCCCTAGCATGGATGTGGACTTTGGGAGCCCATTGCACATGGGGGATACTCCCTGAGTCAAGATACACAGAGGTGGGCCTAGGCTTTATCCCAAAGGATAGATAGACTCTGATGATCCCTTATGGAAGGCCTCACCCTCCCTGGGGAACAGAAAGGATATGTGATAGGTAGGGTTTTAATGGGGGGGGGGTGAGAAGGAGGAGAGGGAGAGGGAACTGGGATTGATATGTAAAACAAACTTGTTTCTAATTCAAATAAAAAATCTGAAAAAAGCAGTTGTTAGCATCCCTACATTTTGATTATATGCAACTCAACAAATCATAATTCTAATAAGTAAAAGAAAACAGAAGAGGCTGTGGTCAGTAAGGAGTTTGGTATCTAAAGGTTTGCTGTGGACAGGATGCTGTCCCAAAGAAAGAACAAGCAGAGCCAATATGGTCATTGTACATTCGACTACATTAGAGATACAAATTTTAAGAGCACAAGGGACAAGAGAGGATTTAAAGTCAGGGATCACATGGGAAAGAGTGCGAGTGGAAAAAATAACAGGAACAATTATTAATAAGTATCAACTATAATGGATCAAATACACTAGTAGTGTCTTCAGAAAATGAAAGAAAAAGAAACAGGAGTTTACTAAGGCCTGGAGTTGTAGTTCATTGTTGAATTGCTTTTCCTCCATACACATGGAAGTCATTGCTATTGATCCCGGCAATATGAAAAAAAAAAAAGAAAAGAAAATGGAGAAAAGTTACACTTTAAATAATTCAAATAAACTATTCATAAATAGTAACGAAAATAAGTCACCATGCAGCATATTACAGATGCTGTGTAAATAAAAACTTCATAACATAAGAAGGGAGATGATTTTATTTCAGGTAAAACCTCTTACTCTAGATAATTGCACTAATTTGTAGAAGTGGAAAAAACATGGGAGATGCTTTCTGAAAGAATTTTTCTTTAACTTCTTAGTTAGAGAGGGGTCTTACAGAACAAAGCCATACAAGGAGCATCAATCTGAGCATTATATATCGGGGTACATTCCAGGCCTTTATTTTCTTAAATGTGAGAAAGAAGAAAGTAAACAAAATCTGTACTATCACAATGTGGAACAGCTTCATTCAGTGTGATAACTCATAATATGCGAATCACAAACAAACCAGGGGTAACAATTAGAGTTTCAGCTGTAAAATTTGCTTTGGTTATACAAATCCATTACCAACTCTCCCCAGTTAGTTTTCTGCAAGGCTATAGTAACAGAAACTGGAAGAACCATCAAAAATGAGCTGCAAAATTGTAGAGATTATGGGCAATGTGACCTTATACTTACAGGGGGAAGCTGACCATTTGCTTTTCATTTACCTAGATCTCCAAGGTCTATGTAATGCACATTTAGTGTATAAGATAGTGTATATAAGTGTGGGTGTATGCACACACATATCTAACTTTATGTCATGAAAATGGTCTTTAATTGTACAGAAAAAGATCAATTGGGCTTACAGGAGTCTGATTTATTGTTTGTTCAGATGAATCACAGCCACAGTTGAAGACCTGAGATGCATTTAGAGAAATAAAACTGAAGCCAGTTTATCTAAACTTTCGGCTGATAAAGACACATGGCTCCAGGATGATCTCCATTTGTGACTTTTCTCAGAGTTGATATGCCTAGCAACAGAGGGAAAGGATGGCTGGGGAAGGCAGAGAAGGTTAAATAACTCTAAAGGCTCACATAAAAAAAAAGAAAGATGAAAAAGAATCACGGAAACCTAAGAGATTCTGGCTCACAAGAATGACAAATGTGACATGAAGAAAACATGAGAAGTATCTAAAAGTTAGCATTTTAGTTAGGCTCAGGTGCGTGAACTTGAACGTACTGAAGAAATACAAAAGAAATATAGTCCTTTCCAGCTAAATTATGCAGTTTTTCATAAATAGTATGAGTTTTAGGAGAACTGGGGGAAAACAAAAGGCAATGAGAATACCTCAGATTTCTAACTTGGGAAGTTGTGATGGAATCAGATCACAAAAGAAAGTCTTTTTAAGATGAACAACAATATCACAAGGAGTACAGAACAGTGGAAGGAAGACAGCAGGCTGCAGATGATAGAGAAAAGGCATCTTCAGGTGTGTGTCAGTACAGAAGCATCAGCAAGCCTAGGGAAGGTTCAGTCATGTGAGGGAGTCTCTGAATGTGCAAAAGGAGCTGGTGTGGACCTGTAGGGCCACCGTCCATCAAGTGGTTTCAGGCTCTCTCTTCTCCAAATTAGACAAGTTTACACATCACTGTTTTATAATTACTAATTACTTAGATGTCTTTGTTGATTATTTTGAGAAACTGGTTAATAAATGTGCAACAAATGTCTATCCAAAAGTAGAAGTCATCTCCTGTAGAGATCTTTCCATCACCAGGACACTGTGACCTTGAGCTGGAAACCCAACTCATGAAGAGTGGCACAGCTGAGCACAAGTTGCTTATTACTCCATGAAGCAGCATTCCAGGTAAAACTGCTGTTGAATAAAAATTGTTCACATATATCCATAGAAAGATACCTACAATTCTGTGTGAAAGGTATGATTTGTGTCAGTTTCAGTGCGTGTGTGTGTGTGTGTGTGTGTGTGTGTGTGTGTGTGTGTGACTCTCTGATGTCCCCTCTCTTCTAGTTAAATAGCCAGTCTCCCAACAGCTACCTGCATACTTCCCCAACACTGCATTTCTTGTGCCCTTCCATTATTTCTGGTCCTTAACCTGTGAACAGGCTGTAGAAGGGTGATGAAGGTGTATCTAAGATTGTATTATCAGCCCCCTTACCCTCCTAGTACACAATAAAGGTGAAATTGTATTCCAAACTGTCCTCGTGGCCTCCACAATGGCTCACCTTAAAACCCTGCATTCTAATAGAAATTTCCTGAAACTCTGGTGTTGACTCATCCTGCAGTCATCCTCCTCATTGCCCTGAACCTTAGATTTCTTTGTTTAGGTACTGGGTAAAGATCAAGTTTTATGCTTTTCATCCATTAGAGCCCTAAACTGAGTGGCAGAACTCTCTTGATCTCCTCTTTCCTTTGTCTCCCCACATGTGGTTCAAGAACAGACAAGCTAGAAAGAATTGGATCAAGGTCTGAGAAGTATTCAGGAATCTCTGGTTCTCACAATAGACCTGTCTCTCCCACTGGCTGTGTTTCTCTAGTGGGATTTGCCAGTGCAAATTCCCTGTGCCAGAGCCCACCCAGAATCAGGATATTCCACAGCTTAGCCCCTCAAGTAACTACTCAAGCCAGAAATCCAACTTCTCCATCATTCGTCTTCATTTGAGGAGAACCACTTGAGAAAGCTCAGCTAGGGAGAAGACGTAGTGGCTGTAGAGTTGCATCCTTAGCCCTCAGGGAAATGCAAATCAAAACAACTCTGAGATACCATCTTGTAACTGTCAGAATGGCTAAAATAAAAATGCTAATGAAAGCTTATTCTGGAGAGGATGTGGAGTGATGGGAACATTGCTGGTGGGAGTGCAGTATTGTGCAGCCAATTTGGAAATCAGTATGGCATTTAATCATAAAATTTGGAATTGATGTACATCAAGACCCAACAATACCCCTCTTAGGCATATACCCAAAGATATACATTCATACCACAAAGACATCTGTTCAACTATGTTAATACCGGCATTAACTGTGATTGCCAGAAACTTGAAGTGATGTATGTTCTTCTCCATTGAAAAACAAATAAACAAAATGTGAAAAATATACGCAGTGGACTACTGCTCAGTGGTTAAAACATGATATCTTGAAATTCCCTGGCATATGAATGAAAGCAGAAAATACCTTCCTGCTTCCGGTATCTTAGACATAAAAATATAACCATGTTATGCCCTCTTTCATATGTTGATATTGGACAAAAAGGAAAGGATAACCAGCCTACAATCCATAATTTCAAGAAGCTTGGAAACAAGGAGTACCATAAGAGAGACAAACATGGATCCCAGAGAAGGGGAAGTGTTAGTAGCATGAAGGGAAGTGTTTAGGGGGAGTAAGAGCATTTGATGGTAAGGGAAATATTATTGTTACATAAAATAAAATTATTTAATTGACATAAAAGTAAGAAAAATAGAAAATGATTAATTTCCTAGAGAGAATTAGACAATAAGAAGCCTAAGACCTTAGCCAAATAAATATAAGTAAAATTAATCCTCGGAGTGAATATTTCATAAC